GAGAAAGGTTTAGGGATTTGAGACATTTGAAAACATCGTTCGCGGTGAACTCTGAACAATGTTCTTCATTGGACATGGGTATACATAGTGGGATAAAACAAGTAGGTTGAAGTAAAAATGATTTGTCCAAGGCACAGACATCGACATAAGGTTCTTTGCTAGGGTGTTTACTTTCAGTGAGGTCTTTAAAAAGTTTCCACATGCTGGAAGAACCTTTGTATGACAAAAGTTTCTGGTTTGCATAGTAGACTCAGACGTTTGATTTCCAACCTAATTATAACGTTCAATCAACGAGCACCAGCATTATCACTTACCTTATGTAGTCTTTATTTTTCTCTTTTTAGTTTCTTAAGCTGGGCAGAGGATATACGATCGAAGCGTAGAAAAAGCTTTTCACTAGGACAACATACATTTAGTCAGAACTTGAGATAGCATGTTACACCATCAATAGTATCATTCAAAGCATCGCTGCCAAATATATTCCAGTCGGTACATTGAAGCATTTCTCTTAGATTAAATATGTTACTGAATGAATAGTTTCTATGTACAATCTTCTCACATGTGAGAACTGTTTTGTGGAGTTTGCCATATATTTTGGGCAAAACATGCACAATACAATAATCTGAGCTGAGCAAGGGAGATCTCTCTCGAGTTTCCTATATATCAGTCTCACTGAAGAATACCAAGTCTAGTGTTGCATTCTTAAGTGTTGTGAAGTTAACAATGTTTTGATGACCAAGCCTTTTGAGAAAGTTTTGTTCACAAGAGCTTAAATCACCACATATTATCGACAGAGAGCCACAGAGTGTGGGGACTGTGAACTCCTTGGATATACCAGAGAATTTGGATAGTTCGGAGAAACTGCAACCAGGTGTTACATAAATATTTCGTGTATAAGTAAGCGATATTTGTCCAAATATTTTGAGCGGCATTTTACAGTGATGCAATCTATGTGGTCATTAGAGAATTTGAAGCGAATATTACTCGAAATGTACCAATGGGTATTGATGAAGGTAGCTACTTCACCTCCGTTTTTCTTAGTACAGCTAAACTGATCTTGATGGAAAATTTTGAAACTACTCAGAGAAATCAAATTGTCATTACACAGTTCATCTAACCAAGTTTCTTACGGTGTAGTTACTCCAGTATCACGTATACATCAGAAGATAGAAGAGATTGTAAGTAATCTATTTTTCCCAGCAGTAACCTGGATTTCGTGCTTATAATTTCAGGCAGTATCATTTGAGATAAGGTTATTCGCTTCAAAGCTCGTTGCCATCTGCCGTGATGTTTTTTTCCTCATCTTATGTGATACTGGGATCGTAGAAAGCCATAAGCCTTTTAAAAATGTGCGTGGATATATGATGCGATCAGAGGACATAATAGAATGAATAAAAGGGAACCATCTGTGGAAAATTTGATGCAATATGACAGATGGAAAATTTAGTAGCCCAGAGATTCAAGCAGGCCGCTGGAAAAGGAGGAAGACTGACTAATTATAAGATTTATAGGTGAAGATTAAGAGGTGTATAAAAAATAATTATCTCAAGTTGCATAACATGAATTTATAAGAGCTTGAAGAGTAAGATGAGTTAATTTCAAAACTAAATAAGTTTTGAAATGGAACAAAATTTCGCAGGAAATAATGGTGCAACAAAATATTCACGATAAAGTGACATAACAACAGTGTGCACACGTTTTGTTGTAAAAATATATATTCTTACAAAGCGTCTTATTTGTTGGTTTTGCCCTGTTCAACTTTCAAAAATGTTGTGCATCGCAGTTATTTTACCTTATCATCTACTTTAATTCATTATGCAAAAGATTTTGGGAACAAGCAAATAAGAAACGCATATTCCATATGTGGATTTCAACTCTATCTAGATTCTTGCTTGATAATTGAAAATCTATATTTTGCTCAATATATCTTTACTCTGACTTTCACACTAACGTAATACTCTAAGAAACAAAGGCTGAAAATAGACTTATCTTTCTTGAATTAGTGAAACCATCGCCTTACAGATCAATGGAGCTAGTTGTTGATCACTGTTCACTGATTCAAGTTTATCACGCATACGGAGAATGATTCAACGCAGATCCTATATACGTGGAATATTTTAGAACTGATAAAATCACAGAATGAGAAGCAGTAAACCATATACACTTAGTTGAAGAGTTGTGTGGTCACACAGATTTGACCATGAGCAATAAATTTTACTTGAAAAATCGTCAAGTAAAAAACACTGTTTAGATTTCGGCTATACCAAACGAATTATCACAGAAGCACTTCAAGATTAACTCGAAAAATGAGAGAAAAGTTGAAATCTCAAATTTTCTTCCTTTACCGTTTCTTCGCATATTTGCTTTACTTTACTGCTTTTTCGTCAAACTGGTCTTGAAATACGAAAATCAACTTGGAGTGTGAAAGTGAAAATCTATAGAAAAGATTTTCTACTAGAATAGATTGATTCAAGCACACAGAATCAAAGTAGATCATGACACCTCTACTGATTTTGCAATATTATCATTGAAGTACTCACCCCGAATTTACCCATTAGCATGCAAGATCTCAATACACCTACAACATACCAAGTTAACCTCTTCACCCGTATGGTCCCAATCACGAAAGCCGCATAACATATAATATTTAACAACCAAGTAGATCATAAAAATTGACTCTGCCAGTAAGTTTGAGCAGATTCAATGCTTCATTAATATAGGTGTAGAACTTGAGCACTGTGGTAGAAGGTATTGCCCACTGAGACACAGTATCATTACCTTTGTCAAAATAACTGAGAAATTCATAATTCCCATTGTGACATCAAAAGCAAGATATTCAGCGAAGAGACAATATACCTCAACAAGCCACCTACCAGTCAGTTTACCTGCTTCTGTGGAACAAGTTATATTGGCCATAGTCAGAGATTTCTGTCAGCATATATACGAAAACATATTCCAGGTTGGTATTTTAAGCGTAAAAGGTGATACATTAGAAGTTTTATCCCTGAACATTCAAACGATTCCAACCAATCAACCAACCCAAACAATGGTCTAAAGCTTGTCTGTAGAATTCCCTCAAACATCTCACCGTTCCTCTGTATTTGACTTCTAAAAACTACACAGGTCTCGGCTATCCATGACATGAAGTCTGATCTTTGTGGGCAAAAGAAGTACGCACAGTTTTGTCTCCAATCGGCTTTAATTTTGTCTAGGTTTGTTTCGTGTTTTTGTCAACTTCTACTTTGTTAGACTAATCTTTCTATTCTTATATCGTCATCATCGTTTTTATTTTCACATTTTATCTTTTCTGGTGTTACTATATTTAATCTTCGAGCTAATCACAACTTTTAACAAAACATTTTCAATTTATCCCAATTAACTTGTCTCATTCACAGCATGTTTTCACTGTGTTGTAGTCTGTATGCACCTAACAAATGATCTAAAAAATCTTCCGTAATCCTTTTCTTGTATCATTCAACCTTGACGTCATCAACTAGTAAAATCACTATTTTAACCCCACTATTGATATTTCAACCTGACATTATTTAAGTGTAAACTTACTGATGGGTTACAGTTTTTTAATATGAATATATACATATATATTTATATATACATATGTATATATATGCATTATACATATATATATATATATATATATATATATATATATGTATATATAAGAATGTACAGTTCGTGAATAAATAAACATATGTAATATGTAATCGAACTCTATCATCATAAGATATTCGCATTTGTGTTTTCATCCTTAGTTTTCAAGTTAATCAGTATTGTATGTATAAGTGGATGAAGAGGCACTGAAGTAACCTCAAGATAGATGTATGCATACTCAGGTGAGTTGATGAAGTCAAAATTTGCTCAAGATAACTGATTTGTTTGCTTACTAATCTCATGTGCTGAATGTCTCATAGTTTTAGGTACTTAGTAGTGATAGAAGCTCTGGTGAACTAATTCCGTTGTTGTTTGAATGTTATCATCAACTAAATGGTCAGTTATGTGCAAATGGGTTTATCTAGGCCGGGTAACTAAGACCTAATCATAGGACATGAAATAAATTGGCGTAGACCCAGCAATGTATATAAGTCCACCATTTAATATACTTTAGCAATCATTCATTTCAAATGAATCCAGGTCGCAATTTCGTTCATAACTGTCATTCTCACTTCAAACCTCTCATCGCAGAATTATTCACCTTAATTAGTTAGTTCTTATCAATAAATTCATGTCATTACTTTTTCATTGGTTCATACGAGCTTTCTTTTTAAGTTGCAACATTAAATTGTTTGTATTTTTCATGTTACAGTTTCAGACAAAAAATCTACTGTACCACTTGTGTTCAGTAATGTATTCTTTGTCAGGATAAGAAACTACTAGATAGCCATTAGTCTATTCAAAGTGTACTTTAAAGGGACAGTAAAATAACTAAATTCTTACTGTGTCAGCTCACATAACCCACTTATTTATGAATGCTAGGAATCAATAGCTGGATGAAATATTTTCGAATGAAATGAACCATTACTTTTGCTCTCTTGTTATGAATAATAAGTCGCCTAAATTTTATGGAAAAATCTCAGCTGTACGTGCAAGGAAACATAATTTGGGAGCTACGTGTATTCATGTGGAATTTTTTCAGTCGCTTCAAAGAAATCTGCACGCTGGAGCATATTTCGCATGCATATGTATAGATATATATCAAGAAGCATTTACGATTGGTGCTGTGAGGAATCTAGTTTACGCACACTTGGTATTCAATAAGCCTTCAAATCACTGTATTAAATGGGTACTTTACAATGGAAGTGACTGTAAGTTAATATCGGATATCAAGTTTTTAAAAGTCATGGTGAAAAATGGACTTTTAATATTTAACAGTATTGCTTTAACATGGAAATCAACATTATATTACATTGTCTAAAATATCTTGATTTTACTTTTTTATATTCACGAAAAATAACTGAATATGATGAAGCTAAAGAGCTGCACATTTAAAATTCAATCATATCCTTCTGCAGAAGGCTCGTTTTCTCTGATGTTAGTGCATTCTGATAAGATTTGCACTTTTCACTTAATAGGCTTTCATGAGAATTTATTTGAAGTGTGTCTGACCATTCTTCCAACAACTTTGGTTCCATTTCTGAAGATAAAAGAAAATAAAATTTCATGATAAGTATCTAAAAAATATCGTACAAATAGGTCTACCATTATTTAGCACACATTTTAAAACTTCATCTTTCTATACATGCAATGCACGTCATTCTGGATTTATTAGTACATAAACCATAAAGTAAAAGCTGGTAGAAGCGAAAACTCATTCCATCTCTTATTTCTACCCACTGTAACTTAATACTTACAACTCGCTGAAGTTATCATCAAAAGAGTGGCTACCAGGTTTTGACCGATTATACATACTCAAATCACTAAGTTGACGAAAGATATACCTGAGTTAGCATTTACCAAAGTGATCTGTACATGCGATCACTCATACAAATGCTATGCCATTTTAATTTTCATTTCTTGAGAAATAAAGTGAAAAGGAGTGGTTTTGTGTCAAAGTTTAACTCCTAGCTTACTTCGTTTCCTTTTTCTAACACATTTTCTTGAAAACTGTCATTTTTAATTTAGCCGTAAGCACGCTTGAAATATTCGGCTGATGCTAATATTTTTATTCCAGGAACTGACGAAGTTTCCAGCAGAATTATTCGGCAACTGCATTCTCCGTATTATTTTGCACGAAGTAAGTTAAGACGGGAAGGATTTTCAAACTAAAGTAGCTATCGGGATTTTGAAATAACTCGTAGATGAATTGACGCCAGCTGTATCATTCTGAAAATTCAAAGTTATCAAAGTGTAAGAATACGCTTTGTAAACTGTATGATGATTCGCTGACGTAATTCAGCTCAAAATTAGGTTGTGGGTTGATACGTATTTAAAACTATAGTGATCAAATGTGTCTACTAACTAATTACCAAGATTAGGACCAACTCTGTCACTCTTCCCTTTTGTTCTCATCATTCTTAATTTTAGTCCCCTATTATCTTAATTTTTACAGTTGTCTTCCAACTCCTTGGTTTAACATAATTACAAGTAGTTAAATACCTTTCTACCTACTTGATGGCTTAACATTAACAAAACGGAGAACTATTTAGGTAGATTACAGCTTAGTAATAAAAAAAACAGCCGTCCTAATAGTTTATACTAAGCTTGTTTGGAAACAAATGTAACAATGAACCAAAAATCTTAAGTCAGTGGTTGAAATAACTTAATCAGATTTTAACTATGGTACTTTTATTTAGTGATCTGATTAATTACTCTACATTCCCCCAAAATATCAAAAGTAAAACACATTCATCACAATCTGAGTTCGTTTATAACTTATTTAAATGACAAACTATAAAGCGACATCGTGAACGACAGAGGTTTGTGTTTAGAAAGCATACTGACTTAGCTGCAGATACAAGTCTCATATTTTGTACTGATGATGAAAAGTCTAGCTTACTTAAGTTAAGAAATTCGGATTTAAGACGTTTTTACACTTCCAGTATGTGAAACATTTACGACTCAAACTTCGAAATAGGATAAACTAAAATAGTCTTGGATATTTATTCCTTATTTTTATATTTATTTGCTCTTCTTTCCCAGGAAATTTTCAAAAACTTGACAAAGAAACTTACAAAGGTTTGACAACCTCTATTTAAATGAATAATCTTTCTAGGAAAAGATGTCGCCACGGAAGTAGAGTCAGTTGCAATTACGAATGTAAATAAACCTGAGTCATATAAAATAAACCAGATCACTGACAACTAAAGCGTCTGAGTCAACAGTTTGGTTTATTAAGATAGTATTACTTATTGCAATATATCTATATTTTAACATAAGTCTCAACTAGTTTATAAAAGATACTGGTTGCTAAACTTTCGGTGCTTACCATTTGAAAAGTGGCTTTTTTCAACTGTACAAACATTACGAGTAGCTGGACTCTATCATATACTTTATTTTGGACAGAACACCTGGAAGATTTTACCGATCCTTTGAACTTTCAAAAAGTGCAGGTGAAGGAAGTTTCTTTTTGAGGAAAGAATGCATTATATTTGAATGGCATAAACAAAATGTTCAAAGGAAGTTAGTTTTACATAGTTAAGGGAAATATGGATTGCTTGCTCTAATGGTAAAGCAGCCTCGATAATCCATTAATTCGCCATTACGCATAGATATATTTGAACCATTACCGTTTATAAATATATTTACTGTCAAAGTTACTAACGTCCTGCTGGAGAAATTCTTGTGGGTAGACCATTACAATCATGATGCATTTTATGCCTGCCTAGTTGAAGTAAGTAGGTCACAATGAAGATTGTTACTATGCCAGCTAATAAATGTTCTTTGGACAGCAAAGTGTTGTTTATTTACTTCATTTCTTTCCTCTTTATAATACTTTGTACTCGGTCAGTCACCTAACATTCATCTCAGTTTCATGATAAGACTTCCTGTTGAACAAATGCTATCTACTTAAACAGTGAATAAAAGCGCAATGGAAAATAATTAAACAGAATGTTAATCTGTGGAAAAAAAATATTTGAAGCTTCGAAGAATCTACTGAAAGCATGCAATTTGAGATGCTTCTAAAAAAGGCTACATTTTCATTAAATTTAAGAGCCTTTTATGATTCACAACTTGGCTGATCTTAGTGCTCATCGGGTCTTCAACTACTGATCCTTTATCGTTTAAGACTTTCATGATAACGATGGTGTTACCTATATGTCAACTGGAAGGTTTTTGAATTTGAATTTAAGCAAATCAAGCGGAATTGAGAACCAAGTGACATGGATACATATTAATTATTATTTAATCCTCTGTCTAGTATATTTCAGCTAAGTTTATCACTGCTATGACTGAAAATTTTCAACTCATTCCATGACACTCTTTCTGTTACAAGATATTTGAATAATCATGTACATATTTACAAGCTTCTAATGAAACCACTTTAATTTTGAAACGTTTTGTCTGATTCGCAAAATTGCATACTGACTAAAATATGTATGGTAAATGTAGACTTTCAAGTTCATTTCCACTAGTCCTTAGTTTTAACTAAGACGTCTGACTGGAATGATTTTAAAGATGTCAGACAAAAGAATAAAAGTTGGATGGGCAATACTTTAATAATTTCCTGAAATTTTTCTCAAGAACAAATAGAGAATGAATTAAAGTTTTGAGACGTTAAAATAGTATAAATATGGTCTAAAATTAATGTCTGTAGCGTAGTTGTTAACCTTATGTAGAGGTTCATAGTTATCAGGTTTTCTTATTGTGACAAAATTAATGGCTTAGAAAGGGGATTTCAGATAACAATTTCATATGATCTGATTTCTAGATTATGTAACAAGTATAGAGATATCATATCAAAGGCCAAGTACAGAAATGAAACGCTAACCTTCAAAACATATCCTGTTCGCAAACGTAAGATCGTTTGTAGTAGGAGAGCCGAAGTGCAAGGCGAAACGTTACTACAATTAGTCCCAAACAAACCCTTATTTTCACAGTTTTCTATTGCCTCAGTCAACCCAAAACTTGTTTTTACCCATACTATTCAACTTTTACCGTATGCTTTACCAAGTTTCTGCTGATATATATTACCTACTTATAAGTAGCAAAATTATTATTTATGAAATCCTTAGTTCTCAGTGTTGTTTTAAGTGTTTTGTACAATTTATATGTCTGTTGAAATTAGAAAGGATCCTAAGTACCGATTTCATTCGTTCCTGTTCACATCTGGCAAGCGCAATTTTTTCCACAGACCTATTAAACTCGGTTCACTCTGTGCATTAGCAAATCTCGAAGTGAAGCCAGTGTTAGATATCCACACTCTGTAAAACTTTGGAGTATATATATATCCATAATTCAATGTGCAGACTAGCTGAATCAACAGTAAGGTATTTTTGGATGTGTTTAATTGAACCAGTCACTGAGGAAAATGCACTCTGCTGTATAATATGCTGCACTTGAAAATTACCTCTGTAAATATCGTTATATCCACGAATTCTGCATATGATATTTCCATGTTTTCGACAACCAATTCAGTCAACCATCTTGCAGTACTAATATTATAAAATATAAGTGTAATATTCTTTCCGAATGATGATAAGAAAGGCATCTTTGACTTTGTAAAACTAACTGAAGTGACTAATTCAGTTCCTAGGTGATAATGAAATATACAGGAATAATTTAGTTAACATTCCCGAAAAGATGATAAGCACTTTATTACATTTATCATGAAAAGATGGTGGGTTTATTGTAGTCATTCCACTGTGATGCTGACCTAAATAATTGTTTCCCACACCTGAACCTTAGGAATAGTTTATCACAATGAACATCGTTGATGATTGCAGTTATCCTAACTTTTTGCCAGGTTAATTTACACAAACCAAACGCATTTCTCAGTCTTTAAGTCCATTAAAAAAGAATTTAGGTGGTGTGATAAATGCTAACAAGCAAAATAACTCGTGTTCAAGGTTATGCACCAGCCAATTCTATCAGAAAGAAAACACATAAGTTGGTGGCTCTAATTAAATGTGTGTAAATAATTGTCAAAAAAATCGGCAAAAGATCTGTTAAAACATTTTCTGTAACGTACTAATACTACTAGTTTCAAACGCCAAGTTTATGTAGTTACAAGAATTTGAAATTAGTCTGAGGACGTTGACATACAATAACACATCTGAATGACGAACCATACGTCTTATTTACAGTTTTTGCTATTAACGGCCAATTAACTATTAAGTTTTTTTTTACATATTTTTGGCCTGTATTCTTCATGTCTTAAAATGCATGGAAATTAACACATCTTATTAAACAGTCCATAAAATTTGCATATCACTTTATGCAAATGTTATAACAATATCTTGGTAACCATGTACATGTGTAGTAAGTGAAAAAACCATTTCAGGTAACATGCAGTCCGTTTGTAAGGTCAATGAAGTTAAACCAGCAACTCAAATCATATGCTTTCCTACTAAACATGAATGATTCATAATCTTCTTCCAGGTAAAATGTCATACAGCTTCTAGAGAAGATTCAAATTTAGCAGGGGGTACTGATAAATTGTAACAGAAAAGAACAAAATCAATAGGTTTTGTGCTG